AATCCTTCACTACAACACGGTGTATCATGATTGCACCACATCCCTCAAAAGTTTCACATTCCTTTCCCATCCAAACCTTCATCAACTCTCCCCCTAAACATTACTCAGATGCACCTATCCACTAGGATGTGTTTTGATGCTGCGGAATTTAATTATTCCCAGTATATGCTATGAAAAGAATCCCCCTTCTGAGCACATTGCCATGTCAGAAAGAAACCATACCAGTTACGTTCTATCCGTCGATGGTTTTTTATCTGTTTCAATTGATGTCAATTATTGAAACTCATTATAACACCGCTTTACTCATCCAAGTATGTCAACCAGAAAATCACAGCAAATTTCTTTGGCATTGATTTCAAGAAAAAAAAACATTTCTCCCACTCTCCATGAGTTTGAACTAAACAGCCAAGCCTTGAGGATCTTTATTCCACTATCAACAAAATGGTACATTCCACTGTAACAATGGGCAATTTACTATGTGTCAATCTCATTACTGGTCTGTGTGATCAAGCTTAAAACACCGACCTGTATCAAAATATAAATATATTCACACTGTTTCCCTACACTTTTCCATTTCAGGCTGGCATGATTTTCTTTTTGCTCTTCCATGTTGGCCCAGCATTATCTGGTATCCACTCTTTGCATTTGATTCTTCCATTTATCTCCTAAATTGTATATGCTCAAGAGTTACAAGATTATAAATATGGACATTTTACCACCGGCTTCCAGAGTATCTGGACTCCTGTTGTTAATCATTGTCCAATGTGTGGTTTGTCTCTTGTGCACAAGACTAATGGTGAAAAAATCAGAGCTGGGACAACCACCCAGATCCTCTCATCTCAACTTCAAACCTATGGATTACCATGATTTTCAATAATTCATATGTATTCCATGCTCACAAAGACCACCAAACAGGTCAAGAGCAAGAAACAAAGTCTATTTTGTTGAGTAAGCCAGTTATATTAATGTGGAATGGCACCATATCTTTGTCTTTCGAACACATATGAAATCTAGTGTGTTATGTTATCATCTAATTTTCTTGTCATGTGGTACTGATTATACCCACCTTTTTCCCCTTCCTCTATTCACCATTTCGATGTTTTTCTGGTCCAAAGAAAACAGCATTCTCTGCTTTGCACCTTATCATAATTTCTGCAAGAAGTCACAAGCAGTTTGTTTTTTTTCCTGTCAGTGATGAAAATGTTGTGAGTTTTTGGTCAATTTCAAATTTCAAATGAAATCTGTAAATTTTTGTCACAGACGCTTTTGTTCTTGATCCTACAATTGGATAAAGTCCCCATCTGATTTGCTGTCATTCAACATGCAAGGTGGTCTATCTTAACCCCCATTGATCATGGCTGACTCGGACTTGGTTTGTTGTTCGAACTCACAACGAACGGCTCGCTTCAACTCACCTCGATTTTCGAACCGCGCAAGTCAACACCCAACCCAACAACAACAAACAACTCACTCACCTTCCTACACAACTCCCAGCAGGTCCATCATCCCTCCTCTCCTTTCCATCGCGCCGGCATTGAATCATGGCCGATCGACATCGGAATCGACCAAACAACCCTGGTGAGAGGCCTGAACCCCCTCCCTCTTCCTCTAGACCGTTGCTTCACTGACAACAACCGTTCTGCTTTCGCTTGTACCTGAACGAAAAAACCGTTCGGCCAACCAACCGATCCGTTTGCTATCAATTGCATAATCGAATCGCTGACAACCTCCCTTGCTTACCTCGTTGTCTGGAGGGTGGAGCTCATCATCAGGTAAGTCTTTCACTCTACATTCATCTTTGTTTTGAAGCGATCGATTCAACACTCATCGCCTCATTATTTCGTGATCAATTCAACACTCATGGCACTTCTCCTCATCTAAATGACCTAACGATTCTAGGAGGACGATCGGGTGCCCCTCAACATCGAAACGATCGAATCGGTGTCGTACCCGCTACGTTGGCAACACAGGCTTGTTCCTCAGCGATACCACAATCGGCTCTTCAACCATCACTCGCTCGTAGACCAA